GTGGAGCCAACCTTGTGGTCGGATGTGCGGGGGTTGCAGCCGACCTGCAGCAGTGGGCACGGGGGCCACTGCAAGGGCGCCAAGCTGGAGGGCGCCTGGCTAGAGGGCGCCGAGCAGGAGGACGCCGCCCTGGACGCCTTGTTGGCGTCCCGGACGCCTGGACGGCATCCTGGGAAGCTGGACGCCGAGCTAGGCGTCGCCACGACTACCCGGGCGCCTGGTCGACGTCGTGGGCGCCTGCACGGCGTCGTGGGGGTCCAGACACCAACCTGGGCGTCTGATCGGCGTCCTGGGCGTCTGGACGCCGACCTTGGGGTTCGGAAGGCGTTCTGGGAGCCTGGACGCCGGGCATGCGTGGCCGGCTACGGACTGTGCTGGTCGGCCAGGCGTGGTTGCCCGGTCGACCGGAATACCCGGGTGACGTGTGCGAGTGTCGCCAGGGTGGAGTATGCGAGGCCGACCTCAGGGGTGGTATCCCGAGGTCGACGTGGCTGGTGGGCACAGTCGCTGGCGTGGAGTCTGCAAGGCGTCTACGCTGTGCTCGTGACAAGGTGTGGAGTGCCAACCAGCTGCACGCACCTGTGAAACAGGTGCACCGTTGTCCTGCGGGTGCAACGCTGTGCAGCCGACTTGCTGCAGCGCTAGCATACCGTGGACTTGCAACGTTGGCGAACCGTTACTCTGCAACGCTGGAGCGGTGCGAGCGCTGCTGCACTCGAGCGTGGTCAACCGTGCTGCGCTGGAGGTCGACCAGCAGCCTAGCTAGCACTGATGTAGTCTGTGATGCCAATGTTGTTGCGACCATCATTGTCATGTTTTTTCTAGTGAAACTCTTGCCAATTCTCCCCGTCTACTAGCAAGAAGCGTGAACACAAGGAAACGACTAAGTGAACCAACGCAGAGATCACACGAGCACACGTGCCTAGCCCGTAGTCTAGCTCCCGTTGCAGCAGTTATCTTCGCATCTCATACGCTCTCATTCCCTCTCACCCACTCTCATACGCTCTCATTCCCTCTCACCCACTCTCACACTCTCTCATTCCCTCTCACCCACTCTCATACTCTCTCATACACTCTCATCCACTCTCATCCACTCTCATACGCTCTCAACCACTCCCATCCACTCTCATCCCCTCTCATCCCCTCTCATACACTCTCATTCCCACTCATCCCCTCTTGTCCTATCTCACACACTATCATTCCCTCTCATTCACTCTCATCTACTATCGTACACTCATATTCACTCTCATCCACTCTCATCCCCTCTCATCCCCTCTCATCCACTCTCATCCCCTCTCATCTACTCTCGTTCCCCCTCACACACTCTCATTCCCTCTCATACATTCTCGTACCCTCTCCTCCACTCACATTCCCTCTCATCCCTTCTCTTCCACTCTCAACCCCTCTCATCCCATCTCTTCCACTCTCATTCCCTCTCATCCCCTCTCCTACACTCTAATTCCCTCTCATTCACTCTCATTCTCTCTCATCCCCTCTCATTCACTCTCATTCCCTCTCCTCCCCTCTCATTACCTCTCATCCCCTCTCATTCCATCTCATACACTCTCATCCCCTCTCATCCCCTCTCGCACACTATCGTTCCCTCTCATCCCCTCTCATTCACGTTCATCCCCTTTCATCCCCTCTTATCCCCTCTCATCCCCTCTCATTCACTCTCATCCCGTCTCCTACACTCTCATACACTCTCATCCCCTCTCATCCCCTCTCATCCCCTCTCACACACTCTCATCCACTCTCATCCTCTTTCATCCACTCTCGTTCCCCCTCACACACTCTCATTCCCTCTCATCCCCCCTCATCCACTCTCACACACTCTCGTTCCCTTTCATACACTCTCATCCCCTCTCTTCCACTCTCATTCCCCCCCATCCCCTCTCCTACACTCTAACCCACTCTCATACACTCTCATCCCCTCTCATCACCTCTCTGGTCCTGATTCCCCGTTCCTATCATCCCCTCTCATTCCCCGTTATCTTCGTATGCTCATTATCCATCAGACCTCGTGGCACTTGTGATCAGCGTCATGTCTAGGGCTCTGGTTACCAGACCAAATCGGTCTGATGGTCTGAAAAACAGACCTACTTTTTTCGTTTCATATGATTCTCAAGACCAGCAATTTAATTTCATCTGAACCATAAGACAGCGCGTTATATTTTGTCTGACATTTCAGACATCGAGTATGCTTTCATCTGATAACGACGAAGTATCGAGGTGTACCCCCCCCCCCCCCCCCCACCCTTCTTTTCCCCTCCCGTCTCCTTCCCCCCTGCCCCCTCAAGTCCCTCACCCCTCCTGCAAACCCCCACCGACCCCCCAGTCTCTCGTTCCTCGACTGTAGAGTACCAGGAGCTTCCCCGAAGTCCCTCGCTCCTCTAGCAGCCCAGCCCCCCCGCAGTCAACCTCGCTCCTCTACCACTCAACACACCACCCCCCCCCCCCCCCCCCCCCCACTCTCCCCCAGTCCCTCGATCCTCTCCCAGCCCCAGTTCATTCCCCTTGGTCGTCACACAAATTCAACAGAACACGGTCCTCCCCCTGTACCAGTCCCCCTTGCCACCTGGCTGGTCACGCCTGTCATGTTAGTCAGCGACTTATTCATTTCGTACTTAGTGAACTCAGATTTCTACCGCATTATGGCTTGGCTAGTGTAGAGTGCAATCAGACCATGCAACAAACATCGTCTTAAAAAACAGACATAACTCCAACTTTCGTCTGAAGAAACAGACCAAAAAAATTTGCCCGTCTGAAGGTCAGACAAAACGATTTTTTTGGGGGGGGATGTCAGACGGGCCTGAATCCTAGCAAGAGCCCTGGTCATGTCTCATCCACTGCAAGCCAGGTGAGGTATGGCCTATGAATTTAGGGTTGGCCTTCGCAGATCCTCGTGGTTTACAGTGCGTGGGTTCGTACACTCCATTGTAATGCCAAATTTCACTCACAAATTGCAATGTTGTGATGTTTCTTGATCTCTATTTCATTTGGTGCACTAGTTATGTCGCTGTGCAGGACTTTGTCGTATGCAACATATTCAAGGGGAAAGTTTATCCGTCAGCCGCAGAAGCGAGAGAGGATGTTCGGTTGTATTGTCGGCAGAATATGATTAGGGAGTTCTACTATTACAGTCGCAAAGAACTTATCGAGGTACGGTGCAACTCGATGAAGAATTTGAGTTGGGTTGGTGGAGAGGTGAGCAGCAAAGATGAGTTATGTCCCTTCCGCATTGTCATACAAGGGTCCAAAAACAGAACCATGAAGGTCTCGCTAGCTAGCTTGAGGCATGCCGACCTATGTACATCTAGTGCTAGGAGTGTTAGGAAGATAGCTGTCGGAGTGTGTACAAGGGAGACGGCAAATCACCATGACGATGACGGACCCACCAAGAGTGCCAGATATATCGGTGGACGGGCGCGGGTTGAGGACTACGAAGGACATGGTTGCAAGACACATACTATGCTGGTTGCAGGAGATGGGATGGCGGAAGGAGAAGAGACCAGAGGAGCTTACCTTGTTCATACACCTATGAATGTTACCTAAGGTGACAGTTAGAGGGTGGGTAAATTGGTGTTGGCGGTTATTAGTGGTAGGTGAGACGGTGCCTGTTGATGAGGTACATGGACGATAAGTGTGGTGTTGAGATATTTCCTTGTCACTTTGGACGGTTTAATGCTGGACATAACGAGAGGGCCACCACTACCACCATGAATAGCAGTTGGTATTGCAGTCATCATCTGGCTTACGGATTCGTGACCAACAAGTTGGTGAGAGTGGACTGTTTGCACAAGAGTGCCACACATTTGCCACTCATAGCATTAATGTGTACATGCCGGTCCTCCTCATTGCCCATGACTATCATATGCAAATGCAATATGTTTGCGATCATCTGCGAGCATGTTTCTTAGTAGAAGTGTGGCTGGCTTCTCCGTGGGACACAAAGCTGATCAGACCATAAAAAACATGATAGAATTAAGGCGTTGTATGTTATTTTAATACAATCACCACTCCATATTGTCGTGCGGGTTCTGAAACATTTGTATCAAACACCAGCTCTGCTTTCAGCTATCGCATATGTGCAATACTGCACCGTCCAAAACCATGTGACATACTGTACATACACAATTTGACACATTTACTATATGTACCATCTAAACCCCTGCAGGGATGGAAGGGAAGTCATGTAGCATCACGCAACCGCCCCACAACCTTCATCGGCCCACAACAAGGTGTCCTTGTTTAGGAGGAAACCGAACAACACTTGTGTTTGAGATAAATATGGCAAGTAAAAAGCACACCGAACAACACAAACAATAGAATGATGCAACTTGAAGATGTTAAACATTTGATACTACCTGTTTTAAATGTTAAATATAGGCACCATACACTGACATTGGAGTATTTTGGTACCCAAAGCCCCCACCATTCGTGACGTTGCAGAGACAATGTGGGAAATAAAAGAAAAGGACATGACATCAAACCAGGTGCAGAGCGCTCAAGAAGTCTATCATGTATCCATGAATAATAACATGCATAGCCCACACGTTCTACTGCAAAGAGCTGTTACTGTTCTCGTATCCCTGTTGGTACGACGACCTGTTGTGCATACCAGACGCCGACCCCTCGACCTCCCGTTGCAGTGGCATGCCCACATGGCTCCAACGTTGCTCCAGACCTGCAACATTCCCATGCATTGGCATTCCCATGCGTCCCCATTGTTGGTTAAGGGCTTGAACGTACCCAAATTGCCCTTGTAACGCATCGTGGGACCCAAGTTGGCCTCTCGTATCCTGCTGCCCTCCCATCCTATGCTGCCCTCCCAACCCCTGCTGCCCTACCAACCCCTGCTGCCCTCCCAACCCCTGCTACCCTCCCAACCCCGCCTGTCCGCCGCTCCCCTGCTGCCCTGTCATCCCATGCTGCCTTGCCATCCCCTGCTGCCCTCCCAGCCCCTGCTGCCCCCCCAACCCCTGCTGCCCTCCCATCCCCTACTGCCCTCCCACCCCTGCTCCCTTGTCATCCCACGCTGCCCTGTCATCCCATGCTGCCCTCCCAACCCCTGCTGCCCCCCCAACCCCTGCTGCCCTCCCATTCCCTGCTGCCCTCCCAACCCCTGCTCCCCTGTCGTCCCATGCTGCCTTGCCATCCCCTGCTGCCCTCCCAACCCCTGCTGCCCCCCCAACCCCTGCTGCCCTCCCATCCCCTGCTGCCCTCCCAACCCCTGCTCCCCTGTCATCCCATGCTGCCTTGCCATCCCCTGCTGCCCTCCCATCCCCTACTGCCTTCCCAACCCCTGCTGCCCTCCCAACCCCCGCTGCCCTCCCAGCCCCCGCTGCCCTCCCAACCCCCGCTGCCCTCCCAACCCCCGCTGCCCTCCCAACCCCTGCTGCCCTCCCAACCCCTGCTGCCCTCCCAACCCCTGCTGCCCTCCCAACCCCTGCTGCCCTCCCATCCTCTGCTGCCCTCCCAACCCCGCCTGTCCGCTGCTCCCCTGCTGCCCTGTCATCCCATGCTGCCTTGCCATCCCCTGCTGCTCTCCCATCCGCTGCCGCCCTCCCAACCCTGCCTGTCCGCCGCTCCCCTGCTGCCAGGCCATCCCCTGCTGCCTTGCCATCCCCTGCTGCCTTGCCATTCCCTGCTGCCTTGCCATCCCCTGCTGCCTTGCCATCCCCTGCTGCCTTGCCATCCCCTGCTGCCTTGCCATCCCCTGCTGCCTTGCCATCCCCTGCTGCCCTCGCAACCCCGGGTGTCCTCCCATCCCCTGCTGCCCTCTCAACCCCTGCTGACCTTCCATCCCTTCCAATCCGCTCCCACCATTTTGTTCCAACCGTTCAGCTCCTCCGTGCTGTTCCGTGGTAGACCGAGATCCATATCTGCCTCTGCCTCTTCCTCTCCCTCTTCCCCGTTCTCCTCGGCTTGCATTGCGTCCCCTGCCTCTGCCCCTACCTTCAGTTGTTGCACGTTCCTCTCCTGCCTGTCTTGCCACATCACGCTGCAGGAGTAATCCCTGCATCCGCCGTATACACCCTGCAACCACGTCCTCCGCAATCCTCAACCCTTCCACCTGCTCGGCCACCGAAGTATCCCACACTCGTCCTGCCTGACTCTCTTGGGTGATGTCTATCTGTGTCCCCGCCGAATTATCTGTTTGAGTGGGCAAGTCTGAGTTCGTGGTTGTGCGTTCACCAAGACCAACATCACCGGCAGTTCCGGGATCCCTACCAAACACCTCGACCAGCGCCCCACCATATGTCACGGCATCACGATCATCCCGTCCCTCCTCATCCACTTCACCAATCACTTCAACCAAACCGACACTCCCATCATCCTCGCTGCATGACTCCTCCACATCACCTGGCTGTCCTTGTTTACGCATGGCTTGGCACCTAATCCCTCTGCGGTGCGTTCGGTTGCAAGCGTTGCACAGGGCTACATGCACTGCACCATCTGCGTCCGTCATTGTTTGCACTGACAATTGCCCTGCGGGGGTTTGTAAAGCTTCCCACAACACTCTGTTGGCTGCACGGACCTCGCAAGTTCGGGCATTATGACCGTACTCACCGCACTTTCCACACTTGCGCAACTTGATTGGGTCCATCTCTCCTGTGGACCGCATTCTACGCTTTGGTGGCCGACCGGCCTTCTTCTTGTAGACCGGAGGGAGGGTAACGCCGTCAGGGACCACAGAGGTTGGGTCGAGAAGTCGGATCGGCGTTCTGTACACTTGCTGTAGTGCTGAAGTTGTGTGATATTTTTGGATCACTGCGTGCGCCCTCTGAGCATCATTTTTTAACACGGCGAAGATGTGTACGCATGGCAGCCCGTATTCCCTGTTTTTGGGATAAATGGGCGACGAGGTAGAAAGGGATTAACGCATGACTGAAACCAGCAAGAATAGCTAAAACCTGCAGGATTTCATCACACACATGAACACATGGCTTAAAGAAGCCCACATTCAGCAAATATGATTACGGAAAGCATATGCACATACGACACTTTGGCGACCTTATGCCCCTGCATGGGCAAGGTGGAGGGATAGGGAAGGTTCTTTGAGTTGTAGGCAACTAGACATTTCAGTTTAAACATGACATCACATATCGCCATATTCCCCATGTCGCACGGGGAAGGCTCGTGATAAATGGGACAAATGAGCATTAAGTTAGAGAGGGTATAACATAGGAGAAAATGGGCATAAGGTTGTAGACAACATGATAATAGCAGCAGGAACGAGATTACATGGCTCTTAGGCCGCCCCAAATACCACTAATTTTGGGATAAATCGGAAGGAAAGGGGATTTCATAAGTTACGCAGACCTATTATGATTGTCAGAATATTATGCTCTAGCCTGTAGTGGGGTGCTCTATAGCGAGTACAACCCTTCTAGGGTTTGCTATTTGTATCCTCATTCTTGCTAGTGCAACCCCTCTTTTTTCATTCTTTCTTCTAAACTTTTTAACATGCTACCAGAGCAGGTCAATCCCCTTGGATCGATCCTGTGGGTGGACTTACCACCTCCTAGCTTCCGCTGCAACTCCTACCTCCACACTTGGTGCCGCACGCCCCGTGGCGTGTGGTAGTTTTTCTTCCCACCGTGCGCCCCGAGGCGCGCGGCGGTTTTCTGCCCGCCGTGCGCCCCGAGGGGCGCGGCGGTTCTCTGCCCGCTGTGCGCCCCGAGGCGCGCGGCGGGCTTCGACCCCGTCGTTCGGAGCGTCGCCCCCGGGGGGCGATGCGACGGGCGACGGGGACCCGCGCGTCGCCCCTTGTCGCCCGTCGTGGCCAGGGCGCGGCCCGTCTAGGCAGCGCGCGGCCCGTACGGGCTGCGTCAGGCCCGCGCGCGGCCCGTATGCACTCCGCCAGGCCCGCGCGCGGCCCGTACGGGCTGCGCCAGGCTCGCGCGCGGCCCGTACGGGCGGCACCAGGCCCGCGCGCGGCCCGTACGGGCGGCGCCAGGCCTGCGCGCGGCTCGGGCCGCCTGCGTGCGGCTCGGGTGACCGTACCAGGCCCGTGGTGGGCCCGTTCCTTGCTGCCCCCGCCCTCCCCGCTGTCCCCCATGCTTCTACAAGCGCCCCACCCCTCCTACTCCCCATTCTCCTGCAATAGGGTTTGGGGGGTGAGGGGTATGGGGGTGACCCAATTGTGTGCCGTTCCCTGCTCCTCCTCCTCCTCCGTCTCCTTGTGCTGCAGCTGCTGCTGAGGGGGGGGGTGGACTTGTTGGAGCCGGTGGAGTGGTACTAAGGGGGGGTGAAGGGGGAGTGGAGCTAGGCGTGTCGCAGCGGGTGTGTGTCAGGGGGAGTGGGATAGTTTGGGGAAGCTTAATGGAGGTTGCCGTCGTGTCGCCAGCAGCACCTGTATTCCGGGGAGTTGCTCCAGTAGCCTAGTCGTAGCCAGCTGTGCCAGTCGCCCGTGGGTCCTCTAGCTCGACTGCCGCTACTTTAGCCGCGGGGCCAGTTACTCCAGTATTCCGGAGCGTTGTTCCGGTAGCCACTGTGCCAGTGTGCCTCCTGTTGCCTGTGTGTCTGCAGCTTCATCCGTCGCCTCCTATCTCCTCTCCTCTCACTCTCTCTCCTCCTCCTCACTTGCCCTATGCGATAGCCCCTAGCTTTGCTCATAATTGTGAACTCAAACTATTGCTTCTCGAACTTGTGCTCAGAATGTGTGGTGACATTGTGATCCACCCTGAGCTTGTACTGCTTTGCTTGCGCTGCTGATTACACCCCACTTTGGCTATGGGGGTGTGTCAGAATATTATGCTCTAGCCTGTAGTGGGGTGCTCTATAGCGAGTACAACCCTTCTAGGGTTTGCTATTTGTATCCTCATTCTTGCTAGTGCAACCCCTCTTCTTTCATTCTTTCTTCTAAATTTTTTAACAATGATAACTCGGGGCTGAAATTTAGAGTGGGTACAATATGAGGGTTGATCTTGCATGGTATTTGGGAAGCTGATGAACACAATATTCATGTATACACCAGTGAAACATACGCTAGCACTGTTAAAAACAGAATCTAAACACCACTTACTTGGTGTAGCCACATGAGCAGTGGGTGTCTGTAGGATCCTCGGGGTTTGTGGTCACGACTCGCCTCTCGTCCCCTTGGCGTACTATGTACTCGTGTTCCCCTGATTCAGCCACCCTGTATCTTTTGCCCTCATCGCGATTCCCAATGACTATTGGCTTTGTCCTGTGAGGGAAGTCAGCAACTGTCATCTCGGAGTATAATTGGCGCCTCTCTTCGATCTTCGTCGATAGCTTATCTGCCAAGCATAGAAGCGGCACCTGCTGTGGACTCTTATCCCGCAATCCCGAAAGCGACGCATGGTGAGACTCAACGGGATTGGAAGATAAGCAACCGTAACGGGGTGCTCCAAAATAAGTTGTCGCCCACTTAACACCCAACCCATTGTCCACAAGGTACGAGGATCCACCGGGACATTCCATCTCAATTTTTTCCATTGTCTTGAGGTACACAAGCTCCGTCAGAGCCGCGGCAGCTACAAGAATTCGTCCGTCCAGATCTGTCCTGAACTTGTTTTTGAAGTTTCGAACCAAATGGGTGATGCAAAAAGACTCCCGTACAAAGGGGGGACAAGTGGATGTGGCGGATATCCGTGCCCCTCCCCTATCATGCATCATGACAAAGTCGGAGGAGTTCACCTCCGGAATGGCCTCCAGTAGGAGATTGAATAGGAAGGCGTATGCATGTTTGTTTTCCCCCTCCACCCATGCACATCCCAGCATAACAAGGTTGTGTTGGCTATCCAACATGCATATGTTCAAGGTGTATCCCCCCCATGCGGTCTTATTATGACATCCATCCGCAAAAATGATGGGCAGGCAGTTCATGACTGCATCTCTTGCCCGTGGAAATATAATTCCTGCACGGTAGAAGAGATTTCCCCGCCTGACCATGGACACGACAGATGAGGGGAATTTATCCTTGAACTTTCATAACAGGTCCTCCATGTAATGAAATCCATCGTCTTCATAAAACGGATCCGCATTCCTCAGCTCAAAGAGCACCTCGCGCGCAACTGTGTACGAGCACTCCACATGTAAAGCCGCCCTAACACGACTCATCAGCGCATGAGGTCTCACGTCGCCATGCTTTAGCATCTCACGCGCAACCTCTTTGACTTCTTCCCTCCGAATCCTTGCAGCTTCGGTGACACACCTATCGGCGTGATCCAAATCAGCCACCGTGACCCACATGTTACTATAGCGCGGTCCCCGCATGACAACACGGAATGGACACATCCCTTCTCCGATGTGCACCTCCCCACGAGGCCATACCTTGCCCTCCATGGACTTGAACCACACCTCAATGAGATTCGACCGATTATAGCGGAAATAGGGAGCAAACATCTGCTGCCTATAGTACAACCGCACCTCCTCCCTTGCTGCTACAGCAGTTGGGTAGAGCTTCCCCTTGTAAATGTTGACAGCATCATCTTCCTGCACATCAAAATTGCTACAGGACCAAAAGATAACGGATGGAGGAATACCACACGGAAGTTTTGCAAGTTATCTTATGCAGCTCTTGTTTGGAAATGAACGATGGCTAATGTTAACAATGCGCTTGAGCTAGTTTGGACAATAAGACCATGCAGATTCCACATGTGTATTCAACCTCAGCCTCTCACCTTGAACGTATGAGGTGAAACATGTTGTTCCTCACGACCGCCTCAAGCTCTGTTGGACACTAAGACCATGCGGATATAAGGTGTAGTATTGTGCATAAGAGAGAATGGAAGGGGGAAAATTGAGAGCCTTTCAAGAGTTAGGGGACAAAAAAGAATGTCACACAGACTAGAGAGTGTATGAGAGCGTATGAGAGGGGATGAGAGGGGATGAGAGGGGATGAGAGGGAAAGAGAGGGAATGAGAGGGAATGAAAGTGAATGAGAGGGGATGAGAGGGAACGGGAATATGTGTACGGAGATGAGAGGGGATGAGTGTGTATGAGAGGGGATGAGAGTGTATGAGAGGGGCTGAGAAGGGATAAGAGGGGATGAGTGTGAATGAGAGTGTATGGAAGTGTATGAGAGTGTATGAGAGCGGATTAGGGGGTATGAGTGTGTATGAGAGGGGATGAGATTGTTTAAGAGTGTTTGATAGTGCATGAGAGAGGATGAGAGGAGTTGAGAGTGTATGAGAGTTGATTGTTAGAGACTAAGGACGGAGTCTACGAAGATTAGGTGCCTAAAAATCTCAAAATCGTTGGCTTAGAATTCTGGACAGAAAAGTCGCGCTCACAAGAAACGCCGTCGACATAAAGTTCACGGTCAAAATTTCACCAAACGCAGATATCTTGTAGCTCTACTCCGTGGCTACAATTCCCAAGTTGAATCATACGAAAAGATGAAGTATTTTTTGAGTT